CACCACCGCATTTGGCTGCCAGTGCGGGCTGTGCAGCGCTGTCACCGGGGACTGCAAAGATATCTGCAGCAGCTGAAGACCCATCATTACTCATCAGTAACGAAGCGGCAGGTGCCAGCGACATGGAGGTAAAGGCTTCCGTGGCTCTGGTGAGCTCAGATGATTGCAGCAGACTTCTCTGCAAATCCATCTCTTGGCCAGGAAGCTCCAGAGGTGCTTTATGGTCATTTATCGTCTGAATTTCACTGGCTTCTGTTCCTGGGCAGAACCAGTCTGGAGGTTTAGGGAAGGACTCGCCATCATCTGAAGTATCAGCATCCTCCAAAGCCGTCGCTTTTGGGGCACTGTTTGCCCACGGTGCAAATTCTACACTACTAAAATAATTCGAGCTGCAGTCAGAGTCAATGGATGCATCTTCTATGTCACCATCATAAGGATCTGAAAACTAAAGTAAAGGTTTCTCTAAATATGGTGTCTCTATTTGTCTAATGTTTTACTGTCTAATATTAGTCTCTAAAAAAAGAGAAAGCAAGATACAGTGGGCTTTAAAACCGCTTACAACCTAAGTCACAGACTTCCTGTGGAAGTTTTTCTGTTTACCCACACATTCCCACCTGTATTTTAATTTTTGGGTGCCCCACTGAGAACGGGCTCCTGCAAAACAGCCCAACCTACTTGCAGTCCCCTGGAGTCCATCGCTTTCCCGAGTCCTCCAGCAAGTGAGCGAGGCACGACCTACATAAGAGAAGTTAACGGGGGTTTATAGAGCACCTGCCTAGGAATTACTGATCAAAGTAAAAGCAGAGTAGCTAAAAACTGCAGAGGAGAGGAAGGCAGCTTGACCCCTTGCTAAAAGACAGTAAAGAGCGTATCTCAGTCTAACTTTTGAAGGCGCAGTAAAGTTGGCCTAAAATAGAGGGACTGAGGAGAGCTATGGTCTTACTGCACTTAAAACATGGCTATAAAGTGAACAAAGAGTAATTGGACACCTTACCACCCGAAAAGTAAACCAAACCAGCCTTTAACTAATAGTAGACAATACGTGTTGTAGAGTTTAGAGAGCTTCCCTCCCACTCAGCTCCCTTTTCCTTCTTTTGCGTAGGGGTGATCTGAAGTTCTTCCTCAGGAGCTGGATCACACACGTGCTGTCCTTCAGAGGACTAACACACCCAAACCCAGCCTTTCAGTCGCTCTCAGTATCGCTGCTGAAACACCGAGGTTTCAGGCTTCTTTTCCCCCACGTGACTTAACACAGGCTTGCCCAGACCCAGACAAAGAACCTCCTGCATGAATTTACACTCGAGAACCACATCACTCTGAAGCAGTGCTTAAAGTCTGGGTCTATTAAAAAAGAAAAGAAAGCGAGCTCTGCGGGGAGACTCCCTTTTACAAGCAAATCCCAGTCACACCAAGGGAAAAAGCACAGCGCAAGGAAAGAGCTCCTTTAGGAGGATCCACCAGAGCTGCTCAGAGAGCACTCACTGCTGGCCCTGTTTCAGCAGGGAGGGAGGAGAACCTCCTCACAACAGCAACCTGAAGGCTTTAGTGGAGGAGCTGAAGCCCAAGGCCATTTCACAGAATCACAGAATATTCACCATTGGAAGGGACCTTTGAGATCATCAAGTCCAACCACAAAAAAAAAAAAAACAAACCAACACCACACCACACAAAAAACAAAACAAACCAAAAAACATGCCACAGCACACCCACCCACAAACAGACACAAACCAACAATCTCGGGCACTAGAGCATGCCCTGAAGTGCCATGTCTACACATTTCTTAAATACCTCCAGGGATGGTGACTCCACCACCTCCAGTGCCCGACCACTCCCTCAGTAAAGTCATTCTTCCTAATATCTAACCTAACCCTCCCCTGCCCCAACTTCAGACCATTTCCTCTGCTCCTGTCATTATTCCCTTGGGAGAAGAGGCCAACACCCACCTCTCTACACCCTCCTTTCAGGGAGTTGTAGAGGGCAATGAGGTCTCCCCTCAGCCTCCTCTTCTCCAAACTAAACACACCCAGAATTTTTTTGGACAGTGCATTCTTATGCTAGTTCAAGGACACAGAGACATCCCCCCAAAGCCAATGAAGAAAAGCAGCTTCTGTTTCTCCAAAAAAAACCCAGAAACCCCCCAGCTCTGGCCTGGCACCCACTCAGCACCCTTGGTGAGAGCAACCAGCTCTACGTCCAGGCTGGCACCTTTGCAAGCCCTTCTTCCACCCAGCCCAGTTATTGGAATCCAACCCAGCAGCTGGGCTCCCAGCCTTGTTTCTCCAAGGAGGAGGCCATGGACATCTCCAGCTTCCCCCTGTGCTTTCTGGAAGATTCCCAGCAGACAATTTCTCTAAACCAGAGAGCACAGCAATTCCCATGGACTGACAGCAAGCATCAATTCTGAACACTTTTGCCCAGAAATTAAGTATTTGGTTCTCCACTCCAGAATCAGGTCTTTTTTCCACCAACTTTAAACACGCAGGTTTGACAGAACAACGCTCAGAAATTACCAATATTTGTAAGTAGCCACCACAACAACAGAGCTGCTCTCTTAATCTCATCCAAAACAGACACTCAGAAGGTAGAGGTTCTCCACTCCAACCTGTAGAAGTCCCGTTGGCCCAGAGCTGCTGAAACTTAACCACCAGAAACAGCCCAGGTCACCTTTAAGCACTTCTTAGCAGAGAAGTGCTACCTAAACCATTTGTCTACCTGAACCACCGACAATTTCCTGCCTCATTCCCCCAGAACCAATTTTGCTAAAATTAATAACAGTGAACATCGGAGCCTGAGGGATAGAACAGTGTTGGGGTTTTTCCCCCCACCACCACTCCTTTCCTTCTACAGTCACAAATCCAACAACCCCAACGACCACATCCTGGGCTCTCCCTGCTGAGGCTGAAGGAAGAGCTGGGTACCCATCAGGGAACCTCATCACCACCAAAGTGCTTCAGAGAGCTGGTTCTTACCTCTGCCCTGGCTTCAGGCTCGGACTCCGTGCTCGACTCTACCACACACTTCTGCTGCAGGGGAGGAAGGGAAAGAAATGCTGCTCAAAGCAGAAGGTACCACAGCTTTGGGGTGAAACTGAAGTTCTAGTACAAACTCCAGACGCCGTGTTTCCCCAAAGCTTTCCTGTCTGAAGCCAGCTTGTCCTTCCAAATATCCCACATTTGTGGTGCTGGTTGGGTGCAAGTGAGACATAAGGGGAAAACAGAAATCTTCCTTCCCTCCCCCCCCTCAAAAAAATACAACAGGCAGCTCTCCAGAACATGCCTTGCACTTGCCAGGAACAGTAATTCCAGGTCAGTAAATAACATTGTTTTGATTTGCACTGCAGTTTTGTTTGGTTTTTTGCTTTTGCTGGGCCTACATCTCAGAAATAAAACTGCAGATAAATAACTACACCCTCAGTTTTTCCCAAAGCTCTTGCTACAGCGACCTTACAAACAAACACACTTTCCTTATTGCCCAGGTGGTGGCACAGGACTGGAACAGCTTCCTCCCTCCCCTTCTGTTTCTTTGCAGGTGATACCGTTTGAATTAATTAATTCACACCTGTTCTTCATGTGCTCTTCCCCAGCAGAGCTGGCTGCCCCACCAGGCTAATGGCAAAGCAACTAACGCTGTCTAAAATATATTTTGATAGGGAGACAGGGTAGCAGCAATTAGAAAACAGTTACCGTGCATTTACGTCCTGGTCTGTCTACGTAGTCTCTGCTTCTAACAAAGTCCTTCACTTCCTGAGCATCTACTAAAACAGGCAGAGGGCAGGAAAGCACATTAGAGACAAATTTTCTAATAGATAAATTGCCCAGACACAGGAACTCCCCTGGTGCCAGAAAGGCTTGTGGTAAATTTTCAAAGGCAGCTTCTGTTTAAAAACAAACAAGAAGCTGCTACTGTCTTCTACCAAAACAATGACTTGATTTACTGGTCTTTCATGCAACATGAGAAAAATATTTAAAAAAAAAAAAAAAGAACCCTCCTTTCAGGGAGTTGTAGAGGGCAATGAGGTCTCCCCTCAGCCTCCTCTTCTCCAAACTAAACACACCCAGAATTTTTTTGGACAGTGCATTCTTATGCTAGTTCAAGGACACAGAGACATCCCCCCAAAGCCAATGAAGAAAAGCAGCTTCTGTTTCTCCAAAAAAAACCCAGAAACCCCCCAGCTCTGGCCTGGCACCCACTCAGCACCCTTGGTGAGAGCAACCAGCTCTACGTCCAGGCTGGCACCTTTGCAAGCCCTTCTTCCACCCAGCCCAGTTATTGGAATCCAACCCAGCAGCTGGGCTCCCAGCCTTGTTTCTCCAAGGAGGAGGCCATGGACATCTCCAGCTTCCCCCTGTGCTTTCTGGAAGATTCCCAGCAGACAATTTCTCTAAACCAGAGAGCACAGCAATTCCCATGGACTGACAGCAAGCATCAATTCTGAACACTTTTGCCCAGAAATTAAGTATTTGGTTCTCCACTCCAGAATCAGGTCTTTTTTCCACCAACTTTAAACACGCAGGTTTGACAGAACAACGCTCAGAAATTACCAATATTTGTAAGTAGCCACCACAACAACAGAGCTGCTCTCTTAATCTCATCCAAAACAGACACTCAGAAGGTAGAGGTTCTCCACTCCAACCTGTAGAAGTCCCGTTGGCCCAGAGCTGCTGAAACTTAACCACCAGAAACAGCCCAGGTCACCTTTAAGCACTTCTTAGCAGAGAAGTGCTACCTAAACCATTTGTCTACCTGAACCACCGACAATTTCCTGCCTCATTCCCCCAGAACCAATTTTGCTAAAATTAATAACAGTGAACATCGGAGCCTGAGGGATAGAACAGTGTTGGGGTTTTTCCCCCCACCACCACTCCTTTCCTTCTACAGTCACAAATCCAACAACCCCAACGACCACATCCTGGGCTCTCCCTGCTGAGGCTGAAGGAAGAGCTGGGTACCCATCAGGGAACCTCATCACCACCAAAGTGCTTCAGAGAGCTGGTTCTTACCTCTGCCCTGGCTTCAGGCTCGGACTCCGTGCTCGACTCTACCACACACTTCTGCTGCAGGGGAGGAAGGGAAAGAAATGCTGCTCAAAGCAGAAGGTACCACAGCTTTGGGGTGAAACTGAAGTTCTAGTACAAACTCCAGACGCCGTGTTTCCCCAAAGCTTTCCTGTCTGAAGCCAGCTTGTCCTTCCAAATATCCCACATTTGTGGTGCTGGTTGGGTGCAAGTGAGACATAAGGGGAAAACAGAAATCTTCCTTCCCTCCCCCCCCTCAAAAAAATACAACAGGCAGCTCTCCAGAACATGCCTTGCACTTGCCAGGAACAGTAATTCCAGGTCAGTAAATAACATTGTTTTGATTTGCACTGCAGTTTTGTTTGGTTTTTTGCTTTTGCTGGGCCTACATCTCAGAAATAAAACTGCAGATAAATAACTACACCCTCAGTTTTTCCCAAAGCTCTTGCTACAGCGACCTTACAAACAAACACACTTTCCTTATTGCCCAGGTGGTGGCACAGGACTGGAACAGCTTCCTCCCTCCCCTTCTGTTTCTTTGCAGGTGATACCGTTTGAATTAATTAATTCACACCTGTTCTTCATGTGCTCTTCCCCAGCAGAGCTGGCTGCCCCACCAGGCTAATGGCAAAGCAACTAACGCTGTCTAAAATATATTTTGATAGGGAGACAGGGTAGCAGCAATTAGAAAACAGTTACCGTGCATTTACGTCCTGGTCTGTCTACGTAGTCTCTGCTTCTAACAAAGTCCTTCACTTCCTGAGCATCTACTAAAACAGGCAGAGGGCAGGAAAGCACATTAGAGACAAATTTTCTAATAGATAAATTGCCCAGACACAGGAACTCCCCTGGTGCCAGAAAGGCTTGTGGTAAATTTTCTAAGGCAGCTTCTGTTTAAAAACAAACAAGAAGCTGCTACTGTCTTCTACCAAAACAATGACTTGATTTACTGGTCTTTCATGCAACATGAGAAAAATATTTAAAAAAAAAAAAAAAGCAGCTTATACTCTGTAAAGCGGATTCCCCACACCCCTTTTTTTTTTTGGCACTACAAGTTTTCTGAACCCTCCAAGAGGTGTTTGCACTCAAGATGAGGTACCAGACTAGAGAGGAGCAAACACAAAGCCATGCTGAGAGTCAGCCCCCCATCCCAGCCCTCCCACCCTGGCACTCGGTGCCCCCCACCCCAGGCCCTGTTACAGGGTGCCCCCTGCTCCCCGTACCATCCAAGGGCTTCCCAGCCCTACACCTTTTCTGCCTCCGCCTCTTCTTGGCTGAAAGCATCCTGCTCCCAACATCTTCACCTTCTGCCAGCTTCATAGGCTTGACCCAAAGCTGCCCCACCTCCTGCACATGCCCCTGCTCAGCTCCCTCAGTTTGGAGGCTTCAATTCTTTGGAAAAAGATGGGAGCAAAGCAAGGAAAAAGAGCCCAGTTGAGCTTAGGTCCAGGTTCGGGGTGGGGCAGAACCAATGTTCTCTTCTGTGACAGAGGTTCTTGTTTACACCTGGTGCTCTGGCAACCAGGGTCAGCTGGCCTGGGTGTCTACCCCATGGAGGGGTCACACCTGTGGGGAGGAGGGGGCAGGTGACCCAAAACTGACCAAAAGAGTATTCCATCCCATCTGCCATGCTCAGGATAACAGCTGAGGGATCAAAGGGTCTGGAGCTTCTTCATCTTCAGTGACTGATGCCCGAGGTGGACCCTGTCTGTCTGTCTGTCTGTCTCCCTTTGATCCTGATCCACGCTTCCTGAATCCAATTCCCATCCAGAGTCCAGTCTGGGACCTCCATGGCACCTGCTGGTGACATCTTCCTGGGAACTTGATATGGTTTTATATAAATATATAGTATCTATTTCATTATTTCCGTTTTATTTTATTATTAATATTTCACTAAAGTAGTTTAATTTTTTCTAAACTCCTAAGTCTCTTTATCTCTCTCCTTTCTCTCCTTGGAGCAAGAGTTGGGGGAGAGCATCTGTCCTGTTGTCATTGGCTGATCTGTCCCAAACCATGACAAGGCCTGCTGGCCAGAGATACAACGCTCCCTTCTCCTCTCTTGCCAATGTATCTTCTGTAGCCCTGTTTCTTCACTCAACCTTCAGCCTGACAGAAGATAATCAGTAATCAAATGGAAAAACACTACCCCCTCCAGAAGCAGCCAGGAGATTCAAAGATGGTTCCTCCTGCCATTTGCTGCAGCAGATGACTTCCTGTCTGTTGGATGGACAGCTGTGGTTGGACCTGTGGTTGGACACTCAGTGCTTTCTAAGTATCTCTCTCGATCACCTCCAATCCACCAGGTGGGATTTGGAGGACTTAGATACCCTCACTCTTACTTGCCATCACTCTCTGAGAAAAGGAACAACAATTTTGCTGTTTTTAAATACCAGGAAGAGTATTTTTTTCAGATTTACCAGAGAACTATGAATTGGGTTCGTTTTTCACAAAGCAGCAGAGCTGATTCCACCCTTTAAGGGCCACATCTCAATTCCCCTTCTTCTCCTTTTTATAGGGAAATGAGGAACTAACTCTTTTTACTTTTTCAAATCAAATTCTTCTCCCTCCCGTTATTTCCTTCCTACCTGGCTCACTTGCATCTTCCTGCACAATGCAGAAGCTACTACTGTTTTAGATCAATTTTAAAATGAGTATAAAACAAGCACTAAACAATAAAACAAGTGTCTTGCTCTGGAGCCAGCAGCACATTGTCACTCCAAAAAGGCACCAGGAGCAAGCCCCTGGGGAGGTGACAGCGAGAGCAGCTGCACTGGGAGCAGCTCACAAACTCCACAAGATTCACACCCTGTTTCCACCACCAGCTGCACTACAGCCTCTCACATACACCTCTTTTCTTCCCAGATACCTCCTTCTCTTCCCAGACATCTCCTTACCGTCTCCACCCAGGCCAGGAGTATCTGATGGTTCTTCCCCTTCTTTGGATTCTCCAATTACGGTCAAAACAAAACAAAGCAACCAAAAGTCTCATCCAACTTCCCCCAGCACCTCCCACCACTGAGGTGGGAGCTAAGAAGGGCTGTGTCAGGGCCTGTGGTGCCAGCTGAGCTGAATGAGTGCATACAATCACCATCCTTAATCCAAACACATGGGTTGGAGTCATTCCTCCCGCAAAAGCCTGCCCAAAATCAGCTTTGCAGACACCAGCTGCTAGCAACAAGGCCCTGGCACCCGGGGCTCAAGAGACCTGTTGGTCTGCAAGAGGTTACAGAAGAGATGGTGGCAGTAAGGTTGAGACCAGGGCAAGGTTTGCACAATGAACCCCTGCCAGCACCCATCTGGGTGGGGGTCGGGCAGCAGAGGTACAGTTGGACAACACATTTCACATTTCCAAGGAAGATTTTGAGTTTCTGCTTTCCAAAGCACACACATAACGCCATCGCTGAGGCAGGGCAGCTTCCAGCCTCTCCAAGTTGGGGCAGTATGAACCAGGAGGGTGGCCAGAGAGTTAGAGAGGCACAGAAATGCTTGCTTAGGCTATTTATTGCCATAATTTCCTATATTGCTGCTTTGGTTCTCCTTGTCCCTTTTGGAAGAAGCCCTTGATCCTGCACAGACCTTGTGCCAGCCGCAGGGAGCTCTGATTTCCCCCGAGTCCAGGTCTCTGGCCACCTGAGAACACAGGTCATTAATACACTGCTTTTCTAGTTTTCAAAGGCATCACTCCTTCTCTGACCCAGGGGTGCCCGCTGTCTCACTGCTTCACAGGGTGTTCTGGGGGTCAGTGCTGTGAAATCCTCTCTCAGCTGATCAGTTCAGCCTCCACGTTATAACGTCGCATCTAATAAATCACACAGGCATTTCTAAAAAGGTTCTTTAAAAAACTGACACTCACATCCATTTGAAAGACAGTTGACTTCAACATACAGATACAAAACATACTAGATTGCCTGCTGTGAAATAAACTGGAAGAAAAAGTGTATAAAAGTCATTTGTCCAAGAGGAAAAATAACCTTAAAGGTCTGGGTCTGGGGCCAGCAGGTAAACTGGAAAAAAAAAGTGTAGAAAAGTCATTTGTCCAAGAGGAAAAATAACCTTAAAGGTCTGGGTCTGGGGCCAGCAGAGCTCAGCTCTTGCAGAGCAGACACTGAAGCTGGAGCAGAGGCTGCCTGAGGTTGAATGTCCATCAGGGAAAGGCCAAGTCTCACTCCTTGCCTGCAGAGCAGCCAGGACTGCCGCCTTTGGGAGTGGATTTAAGTGGTGGTTTATGTTAATCTTGAATTATTAATTAATAATCCTGAATACCTCCTATTAGTCAATAGAAATTATTATGATTTAGCTGCAGATTGTATCTGTGAGGCACGAACAGGGAACTGATTCACAGCAAACCATGTTTGACTCATAGATATCTTGTTCCAGCCAAACCTCCCACTATAAGAAATGCAAAAGGACAAATGGGGGCTTTTGGCTCTCCCCCCACATGCAGCTCTGCAGCCATCTGGGTGCTCCAGCTGGGGCCTGGGGGCTGAAACCAAAGCAATCAAGCAAGTAATACTTTTTCTGCACGGAAACAAGAGAAGTTGAAGTCTTAGGAAAAAAAAACAAAACCTGAATGTTTGAATAAAAATAAAAAACACCTGAATGGTGTTTGCAGGGTTCATCCTCCTTTCCTATTGCTCGCTGGAAAGCAGCCTAGAGGAAAAGCACAGGAGACTAAAGGAGAACTGAGCAGGAAGAAAACTCTTGAATTCTCATGACTCCATTTGATGAATGCTACAGTCTGTCTCATCTGCTGCTCTGCATCTGATTTCAGAGCAAAACCGTCCACCCAGTCACCAGCACATGCTGAGAGTGCTAAGAGTTGAAGTCAGCATCTGCAAGGAATGTCTGCACTGAGCTAGCATGACCCTCCCTTAGGGATCTGCCCTGTGCAATAGCCTTAACATTTGGCTTGGTTTCCCGGAGCATTTTCGTAACATCCTGGTCCTGGAGTTGCTGAAATCCTGATGGTTGTACTGCCAGGAAAGGCACCTCGTGCTCTCCTCTCAAGCAGAACCCTCCTGACAGGGCTCCACGGTGGGTGGGCACAAGAACTGGCCCCAGTGTGTCTGAACCTGGTCCCTTTTCACGCGTCACAGAGGTCCTTCAGGAATGGAGCCTGGAATCTTCAGCTGGAGTTTTGCTCTTTAAAAAAAGAGGGAGGAACATGATCTGGCCACCTCTTACAATAGAAAGTGTAGCTGGAGTTTTGCTCTTTAAAAAAAAAGAGGGAGGAATATGATCTGGCCACCTCTTACAATAGAAAGTGCTGGAAATAACAGCTCATACGTCAGCTGGGAGCTCTTGGGAATGAAGACGCTGGACACATACAGATTTGCACAAATTGCAGGAGAAAAATAAAAAGGGCCTCTCTCCTCTCAGAGCACTGTCAAAGCCAGGTACCTTTTATGACCACACGAACAGAATAACACGGGACAAAGAGCTGTATTCCTTAAAATTCTTAATGCTTCATTTTCAGGTCTGCCTCACCATATGTAAGCTCTAACCAAAAATAACACCTACGTTTTAGAAAATGACTAAAATCAAGTATATTGTTCCAAATTGCTGAAACATAGCAAAGGAATTTAGTTTATTAACTCCAGAAGGGATTATTAGCATGGCAAGGTCTCTAGATGATCTACTGAAGAAAATGAGCAATAATTAAAACATAGCAAAGGCATTTAGGTTATTAACTCCAGAAGGGATTAGCATGGCAAGGTCTCTAGATGATCTACTGAAGAAAATGAGCAATAATTAGCATATCCCATACCGCCTTTATAGTCTGGCTCGAATGGCTCAGTAACAGCCTGGGAGAGATGGCAACAAGAATATCCCAGAATATCCCATACATCACCACCTCATCCTCTGCCTTACTCTTAATTAAAAAAAACTATTTCCATGTCTAGCTGAACCTCTGTTCCCATTTCCCTAGAAAAACCCCAGGAAGTCTGACGGAGGGGTTGGCTCTCCCCAGAAGCGTTGCCCTCCCAACCCCTCAACCAGCACTCCTTTTAAGATCCTAAGAGAGACAACAATAACTGGGACAGTGAGCTGGACTTTGTCCTTCTTAATCATCTAAACTCTTCAAGGCCCTCAGCTGCAGTAGCCTGGGTGTGTAGATTCAGCCTAAATCTACCACAGGATTTCATGAAGTGAGCGGGACACAGCCTCATCCGTAACAACGAGGATTTTGAAGGTTTAATTCTACTACACAACTTCAGCCACTGCACAAGGGAACCTTAGGAGAACTTCAGAAATTCCACGGTACATTAATGACAGGACCAAGTATTGTGGGTATTATTACAATATATTAGTATTATTAGTATTATTAC